GTGACTTAGCTTTTTTAAATAGTTTTTACAAAGATCACTTATTTCATATATTTATATAGAAAAAAGATAATTAAAAAGATAAAAATAATTGTTGCTTCTTATTAAGAGGCGTTGAACAAAGCTGAGACCTGTGTATATAGCCACGATGTGTGTGCCTACAATGGATGTGTGCCTACAATGTTCTTCCAAATGTTATAGGAACGGAATATGGGTCTCCTTATAGAAACAATAGTGTTTAGCAAGAGTTTTTTTATCTCTAAAATAATATATTTAATGTTATTATGAAGTTTTTGTACATAATATTATTATTATTATTATTATTATTATTAATGTCGATTATTATTATTATTATTATTATTATTATTATTATTATCAAATTGCATAGAAACGTATAGAGCATCGGGGTAAAATGGTTATTTTGTACCAGTCAGCATATTCAATCAGATTTTTAATAAAACATCATGATTTCTTAATCAGTTAGAATTTCTTACTCAGACAGAAATTTTTCAATCAGTACTTTCTCTATCAACAACTATCAAACGGGGTATAACGCTACTTCAACTGTGGTTATGCTATTTGCGAAAGTTACAAGTTTAACCTTAAAGTTTCATGTATTTCATTTTTAGTTAAATTATGGTTTTCTTTTGGCTTTTCGATTCGACCTTTATTCCCATCTGATTAGTTACTATATACAATTAAAAATAATAATCTATTTCCAACTTTTTTACAAGTTTATCTTTTACCAATTCATTTTTTACAAAAAAAAAAAAATAGTTTAAGTAATTAATCTTTAATAATTTTTTACACATTCATTTTTATGTATATTTTTCTTTTCAGATTTGTCAAAATGTATTTATTTTGTAATAGTTTCTTATATAATTCATTAAACTGTATTTGTCAAACGAAAATGTTCTCCCGCGACAACGCATGATCATACAAACCCTAGTTAGGTACATTGTTTTGCAAGATAAATATCAAAGCATCCTAACATCAACAGCTCACACGAGTAACCAAAAACATGATGTATTAAAGGATCATGACTGTATCCGATACTTTATTTAATGACTACGTAAGCATTTGCTTATTCCTTGTTCTCACATGTACTACATAACTTTGGTACTTTTCCTTACAGTAGTACAAGTTTGGTTTGCTGGCTAGAGGCTCGTCTTGACTAAATTAATATAAGGGAATGGGTTTTTTTGTATTCAACTTAATTGTGTTGCTTGCCATTGGTGGTGGCTAAAAAGTACGGATTTTGTTAATGCAGCACAATTGTAATTAGTTTGTTCATTGCATCATATCATATTTTAATTAGTGACATCTACTGTTTGATATTTTCTTGGGAGGAACCCTACAAGTCAATATTTAATAGTCCCACATACAAAATGCAACAGTCTTGACCTAACAACGTGTGTTACTAAAGTCTTTAACTATTGATGTGTATAAAATACGCTTAATGATAATAATTTAAAGAACTGCTTCGAAATTGAGTGCAATGCACAAAGACTTATTTATAGGTTTTAAGTTCAAATCCAATATATGAAATCAAGGACATATCAATAAACATTACAGAAGTGTTGCTTATCAAGTTTGATTTATAATAATAGAGAAGTTAACCAAAACTAGGGTGTATTTATAGCCAAACATTAGAAGAAGAGTTGTATTATTTTTGGTATACAAAAAAAAAGTAACAATGATACAAATTATTTTCTTGCAATGTAAAGCACGCATAAATTAGAAAATGTGGATCTGTCACGGCCAACCTAATTAACTTTTGAATTTTAAAGTGGAATAGATGACGCTTTATAGTGAGAAGTTTTTGTTGCAAATAAAAAAAAGGTTAAAAACGTCGATTTGGAAGATTTGATGAATATGGTAAATAGTTTTTAATGCAAAAAAAAGATGTGGAAATGGATTGTAAAGGGAGCAATCGGTGGTGAATATTAGTATAGTATTGATGCATGTTCATTCTTATTGCACTTTTCAGATGAAGACAGATTCTTGGATTATTGGTAAGTGATGAAATATTAAATGTATGCAACGTTTCAAAGCTTGAACCGTTTTGTTCTAAAAATAAAATGATCATAATGAAAAAAACAAAATAAATTGAAATTTATGTTTAGAGAAATCAAAATTCCTCCTTTTCTTCATAATGAAAAAAACAAAATAAATTGAAATTTATGTTTAGAGAAATCAAAATTCCTCCTTTTCTTTCTAACATTGTGACATTTGTCATATTTAATAAATGATGTAACCCGGAAAATCGTTAAAAGGCTAATCGACTTGAGATTTCGGATAGGTGCTTCGATGCCTCTAGCGAGCCCCGATTTGATTCATGTTACACTCATAAACGATAACCGTTAGAGTCGCCCCAAGACTTGCGTACCGGAAGCGGCCTCCGACGATCAAGTTAGTATTGATACAAAATGGGGTTCGGGTCCGTCGAGCGGTCGAACCATAACAAAATAAACGAACCGTCGAGAAATGGCCAAACCATAGCAAAATGGCCGAACTGTCAAGAAATGGTCAAACCACTGGAAAATGGTCGAGCCGTCGGGAAAATGGCCGATGATAGCCAAACTGTCAAGAAATGGTCGAACCACAAGAAAATGGCCGAGCCGTCGGGATATATATATATATATATATATATATATATATATATATATATATATATATATATATATATATATATCAACAAGTCCTGAAGTGGGAGTGAGTCGATGTCTGGTCCTACTTCGGACTTATAGTAGCAAGCATACACGACCAAACTTCTTCATTTAACTAGGTTAGGAGAAACGAAATCATGATGCCTTTCAAGGATTTGCGAAAGAAATTGGAGTTGCACTATATACTTTGTCTAAGTTGTAATTACTTCAAAAATGATTTTTTATGATTGTGAAGTTTTAGTAAATCAAAGGTGTCGTGTATAACCAATGTGTCACGAAAACCAACGTTGATCGAATTCCCTTAAAGAGGGATTTGTCCAATAATAAAATTAATAGATTTTTATTATACTTGTCATCATCTAAAAGTGGTAGGAATAAAAAATAGGAGAGGATATTTAATTTTTCTTATGGTTAATTGACATATAGAGTATTTTCAAGGCATTCAACATGTTTTCAGTATGTGATATCACATAATAACACTACAATAAAATGGACTTTCGCACACTCGAAGAATTTGTTGTTAGTGTGGGGGTGAAATCATTTAGACGTACTAGCAATAGACAAAATGTGATGTGTAATGTAGGGTGGTTAATTTTTTGGTGACAGACTTTTCCATACCGATGACAAACTAATTGTTGTTAATCCAATACTTATTCTCCACCAACTTTGAAACAAAAGGTTACACAACCAAAGAGGGATAAATTTGTCACATATTGGCCACAAAGTTTAGCGACACATAAGTATGCGATATATTACCATTGAGGGTTTAAGGCATTCGCTACAAGTGGATTATTTAGCGGTTTTAGCAATGGACAAGTGGATTTCTTTGTGTCAGATTTACACTATTAATACGATGATATAGATTCACGAGAAGTATGATGATGTTGATGATGATGAAGATGATGTCACATGTGATAATGATGATGGTAATATGTTAAGACATATGATAAATACATATACACAAAACCACCATTTAATGGTATGTTTGCTATACCATTATGTCCAAACCTCATATTCCTACCTATGTCATCACACAACTACAACCCATCATAAATAAAAACCTACAAACATTCAAACACAATGAATCTTTTCAACTAGCACTATAAGTGAAAAGTGTTCAAAAGCTATTTCAATACAAAATTTATAGATCTTCAAAAGTAAGGTTTCGAGAATCATGTTACTAGAAAAATATACCTGGCATACTTGGGTTGCACAACTGGAGAATATTGGCATGTCTTGGGTTCAAAAACTTGTGGACAGACACACTTTTTCTTCCAGCAACTGAATCCAAACTATATCCACAAAAACAAAAAAGTGTTGGGATATTTAATTTACAAGGTTGTAGTGATTATAACAAAGTCAACTGTGGAAGCACATCCAACGAGATTTCAATTCGAAGTGAAAAATAAATATTTTGTACAAACAATCATAACTTGCGAAACAACATGCACTTATACTTATACAGGGGAAGGGGAGAGGCACTACAAGAAAAATACCCTTTAATAACATGCATTGTGTATCATAAAAGGGTACATATGACACACAAATGCACGTCACGGAAGGCCATGTCATAAAGGAAGACGGCATGCATTTGCGTATCATAACCTTACGTCGCGCATTTACAACACTCGATGCGTATCATTAAATCTCTTGTCAAGAAAGGCCATGTCATAAATGAAGATGACACACATTTTTGCGTATCATAAATTTAATTGTTTAAATAAATACTTATAGATTTACTAATTTTCAAACTAAATTTGCATTTAATGTCTCATAATAAAAAATAAAATACCATATACAAAAAATACAATCCATTGCATAAAATAGAATGTCATTCAAATCTATTTCTTACAATAAATGTACCAAAATCATTCATCTAATCTACTTTGTGTTTCATTCAAAAAATCTATTTCATACAATAAATGCATCATCAAAAGAAATCATTTCCTTAAGAAACCTCGGAAGAGCATAAGATAATAAACCGGTCTTATTAATCTGATCTTCAAATAAGCGAAGCTTTCTTGACACATTTTTAGCAGCTTCCATGTGGCTTCTAAAATGAGACTGCATTGTAAATGAGATTGCAATGTATCATCTGTATGCCATAAATCAGAAAATAAAGTCAAGTTCAAGGGATTTAATGATACACATTGAGTGTCATAACATTCATTGTTTACAATATGAAACATTATAACTAGCATTATCATGTTGCTAACCTTTTAAAGGCTCAAGAACATGGTCTCCAGTTATAGCCTTCAGATAGAGAACAAATGAAGTATCTATTTTTTCGAAATATATAATAATTATTAATAAAAAGAATCCATTTTTATTTAATCATTTCTTGTTGAACTTTAAAGAAAGAGAACCAACTTGTCCAACGTATCTGATTCTTTCTCTAAGCCACTTGATGTCCATGTTGTTTAAAGGATGCCCATCAATCAAAATCTACACCACAACACTTTAATGTCACAAAGAGGGCATTTATGTCTTTTGACAGACCAGTCTAATGTTGCTCAATTGTTATTTTACCATGAGAGGACTAAAGGGTGAATGGAGATCTACTAGAAAATATATTGATACTTGAAAGACAGACAACTCAGAATGAAACCTAATTGAGATTAAAAGAAACAAGCATGGAGATTAAACATATTTATACCAGCCATTCACTGTATAATATGAACTTTGTAAGTTGTTCAACTGTTATTTTACTAGCCATAATGGGCATTCCTCCTACCAATATAGCAAGAACCTATAAAAAATTTCAACTTCAAGTAAACCACATGGCCTTTTTTATTATTAAGAATAAAAGGAGCATAACTTGTGTAGAATTAGTACCCGAACCAAAGTAATTAACAATAGCAGCTTCTGGTTGAAATTCTTCTCCAACTGGCATAGCAGAAGAAGCCATTTTCTTAGCAAGTTGAGTTCTAACATAAACAAGAATTTTTGAAACTTATGTTATGAAATGTAGACATACCCTTCTTTGATGTTTGACCATAAAAATGAAGGGGATGTATGTGAGAAGGTAAGCCTCAGTGGCAGTTCAGATACCATAAGCAAGACTGCTACCACCCAAAGGATATGAATTCATACAAGACTGCTACCACCCAAACAACATACGTAAGTACGTAACCACTAACACTTTCTCATAATTCTTCCCATACTTCAAAAAGAATATTATTCTACTAAAAAACGCAACTCTCATCGCGAGAACCTGTTGAGACTTTCTTTTTTTAGTTTTCAAACAAACAACATTTTCCTTTTTGAGTCCCTTTCCTCTTTTCATGCCTTGAGGATTTCACCAATTCTTTCCTCTCTCTCTCTCTCTCTCTCTCTCTCACTCACTCTCACACAGCTCTCATTCTATCAAACTCTGCCTTTTGGCTTCTCACAACTCTTTCTTCAAGTTCCATCTGCACAATATATATATATATATATATATATATATATATATATATATAACAAATTTAAAATAATAATAATAAAATGTTAATATTCAAAAAATACATTACATACCTTATGTTCCATAACACGAGCAAGTCTATATGTCTCCTTGATATCTCCTTCATGACGCTCTCTACTCAACTTAACCTTAAGTTGCACAATCTTTCAAAATACAGATTCCTATTTTGGTAAGATATAGAATTCTTCCTGGGGTACCCACAAGAAAATGAACAGGTTAATGCAATCTCATTATGTCATCTTTTAAGCTGGTTCCACCTGTCGTAACCATTAGTTGAATATTTAAGTGTTTTCCAAGTTCTTTGCAAACTTGTGATGTCTGAAGAGCTAATTCTCGTGTTGGTTCAAGTATAACAACTGCCAAAAAAACAAACAAACCTTAGAGATCTTCAAATTACCCAATAGCAGGTTAAACAAGTGAAAGGTAAAAAGGGTAACAGTTAAACACAAGTGAACATTGTTTCCGATTCTAGTTAAGGTGCTTAAAAGTTTTTTCGAGCATAAATTCATAGTACACTTCAATAACATAATCTTAAAGATATCAAAGTTACCAGGTTAATCTTTTGCACTTTTTGAAATCTATTTTGTTGTGTGAAAAAATATTGTAAATAGTGTAAAACACATGAACAACTTGTAATAAATTGAAGTTGACAATTGTTTCAAGGACTAATTAGGATGGTTGAAAGTTTTTTTAGCACAAAGTTCATTATACAGTTCAATAAAACAATATATATATATATATATATATATATATATATATATATATATATATATATAAAATAAACATGGGACATGAGTATAGTTATAAAACCTTGAATAACATTTTTATCTTGATCGATTTTTTCTAAAACAGGAATACAAAAGGCGGCCGTTTTTCCTATTCCGTTTTTAGATCTTGCAAGAATATCACTTCTAATGAGAGCAATTGGAATACTTTCCTCTTGAACTTGAGAAGACCTTTCAAAATCATTTTCATATATCCCCATAAGCAGATCACACTTAAGAAACTAATCTTCAAACTCATTTCCTTTAGTGGCTGTCACATCCTGAAAAACAGATTTTTAGATTAAAAAAACCACACATATATGCCCATATACAAGAGGCAAAAATGCATAATTCACCTACATTGTGATGCATAAATACAAAATTTGCAAGGAAAAGGCTGACAAAGACAGGGGCTTGGATGAAAATCCTAGTCAATTGAGTATACATAGTAGCAGAATACATGCACAAATATTTAGTTCCAATAACATTATTATCATGCAAAAACAAAGGCTTAACATCATGCCGCGCAGAAGCTCACACTAAGGAACACCTTGTTGGTCACTGAGAAAAAAAATAACCACGTTGTAGTTGGTCATTGAGTAAAACAAACTCAAGAAAATGAGTTTTAAGGGTAGGTTGCCTATCAATCAGAAATAGGGGTTATTGGTAGAAACTGATTCGAATCTTCAACTTTAAGTAAAGGAATTTGTAAATACACAAACCTTATGGATGTCATTGGTCGTACCTTCCACCGTAAACCTTCTAAGAGCTGAAGCTCCATAACTAGAATATATTTCACCTCCGTTACTAGTGTTTATCTGTGTATTACATCGATGTTATTTGAAATCAAAAAAAAATACGTAGTATGTAAATCTATATATAGGAGAGAGAGAGAGAGAGAGATTATGTGAGAGAGAGATATAGAGAAATAGAGACATGTAGTTGGTCACGTATTACCTACATCAAATAAAAATTGAAGGAATGTTGATTTCATAAGATGACTTTGAAATGGTATATAGAACCCTAAATCACCTTCTAGGTTTAAAAAAGGGGGAACCGGAAGTAGATTGATGGAGTTAGGGTAAACCGAAGGTGGAGTGGGACTGGGAACATTCAATCGTAGGAGAGATCCAGAACCGTAAACATCTGATGTCCATAATTTTTTTGCTAAAACATGGAGAATCGACCTAGGTTTTCCCAGTAATTACTTGTGTTTGAGCAGAGATCCAATGAGAAGATTAACAAGTAGATGAGAAGCGAATCGGAGAAAAGAGAGAATTAGGGATAGGGGAGATTCGATTATGAAGATGAAAGATAGAAAGAAGGTAGAAAAGAACAAGTCGGGTTTTCAAAATTTGGGGATTTTGTTTCCCCTGTCATCTACTAAACGTGCCTTTCATTAAAATTATAAAGTGACAATTACAGAGGACGCGCGCTTAAGGGCACACAATAATGTGCCCTCCGTGTTTTTAATTTTTTTTCTTGAGACACTAATTTAAGGGCACGCAATAATGCATGACCTAAATTCTTAAAATTTTCGGAGATGTGACACTATTTTAAGGTCACTCTCTTTTGTGTAACATAAATCAGTGCGTGTCGTGGTTTGTGTGTCATTAAATGCATATATTCAAGTAGTGAGGAATCATTTTCTCGACACCCAGTTTATTGTTATAACTTGCAGAATCATAATCCTAGAAGGGTGACATACATCCAAATGGATGATGAAAACCGATTTGAGTTCTTGTTCTTCTTGATTGGTTGTACGTTAATGTTTATTTTATAATTTCACATTTTATATAGTATGTTTCTGCATCATTTGTTAATCTATTTTCATTTTTTTACCCATAGGCTTTCCTCAACTATTGTAGGCGTGAACTCATCATATATGCGACACACTTAAAGGGTGACTTCAAGTGCACCGTCTTATTGGTAGTTACGATGGATGAGAATAACCGATTTGCTTGTTGCTTATGGAATATGAAAGACTTAGTTTATAAGTATGTGTTCCTACAAAAACTACATAATTGTATCAGCGAATTAGAATATTTATCCTTCATATTCTATAGGTGATGTCAATTGTAATGACCATTGCAAATATATTATTGAATGTGGAGTCATCATCTTTTATTTTACTTGCAATATAAGTATGAAACCTTCAGAAAACAAAGTGTTGTCCTAGAAGCATGCCTAAGCATTCAAAGAAAAAGATTTTGATGAAAATTTTGAAAAGCTACATAATCCAAGAAACAAATAATGGGAATACTTAAAAGCTGCAGATCCACAAAACGGTCAAGAGCAGATTTACAAGGTCTCTGTTACAATCTTATGACATCAAACATTTTGGATTCCATCAATGTGTTATTGACATATTGCATGAAAGATGACGATAACGATGTTTATTGAATTCTCCCACTTGACGACGGAACAATGGTATTTTTAATGTTAGAGTATAATTTAGAAGAACTAGCAATATTTAGTGTGTTCTTCCATTTAAAATACACTGAACTTAACAGTGTTATTTTGATACTTTATGCAGCGGAGGTAACAACAACACTCACCTAATTGGCAAAATAATAAATAAAAGTACTAATACACAATTTATCAAATTTCAAATTCAAGATTTGAGGTAATTCTTCACCAAGAAGGGGATTGTTGATTTCAAAGAAAGAACATGTACATGTTTAAAGTGGCAACAATATGAATTACATTGTGGGTATGTCATAAGAATCTTAACATATGTAAGATATGAATCTATGATGACTATTCCGAGATGGCTATCACAACATATCACAATGATTTTTGTAACATCCCGACTCCCAGGTATAATGTTTAATTGATTTATTTTCTTACTTTCAAAGCAACTCGACGACTTGGATGCCACAACTTGCCGAGTTGAGGAGTTAATGACCACGTGAATTCTGAAGTCTACTTGATGAGTCGGAGGACCCTGACTTGACGAGTAATAGCTAAGCAAGGAAACCCTAATTTTCCAGGTTTGCGTCCTTTTTAAAGGACCTTAAGCCCTCATTTCCGCTACACTTTTCACCTTAGAGCTCTGTGAAAAACCCTAGGCTAGTTCCACTTGTTGTGAAGAGATAGAAAAAGGCTAAATTGAGTGTTCTTGTGCATTTTGGAAGGAGATTTGGAAAGCAATGCAGATTGGATCGAGGAGGGACTGTAGATCCAGTGTTCTTCATTGATTAGCTTCTATGTGGAGGTAAAAAGCTCCTATCTTGACCACTCCTTTTGCTAGATCTTATTTAGGGAGTTTTTAGGGTTTTCTCCCATCCAACTTTTGTTATTGAGCCACTTGAGCATGTCATTTGATTGAAACCTCAGATCTGGACTGTAGGAGGTCTTATGAGCCCAAAGACCTGAGCTTTATTTAGCTAGAGGCAGGCTTTTATGCATCTAACCCTATATGGAGCTTATGTTAGCATTTCGAGCCCAAGATGCCATGCATGGAAGTAAATCTTGCAGGTTTACATGATAAGTGAGCCTTAGAAGGATAGATCTAGAGTATGAGACACTGGATCTGCCTAAAAGTTGTCTGAATGAGGAAATGGTATGAAGGGACTCAGTGAGTTGGTTAGCTGACTCAACGAGTCGTCTAAGGTTTTTCCCAACGAGTCTGGACATGAGTAACTCGACGAGTTAAGTTGGATTTTCATGACATTGCTGAAGAAATGAGGGAACTCGATGTGTCACATAGATGCACTCGACGACTAGAGTCAACATGGACTGTAGACGTATCCTAATAATAATTATACACGGTATCGTATTTAAATTAATAAGATAATTTAAATAATAATTTTAAGTATTAGACAACACTAAATTATGTAAGAAGTACTTACAAAATTTATTAGGAATTATTCGGAGTTGTTCTTGGTGTTTTTGGATGGAATTTGAATATTTAAAGATGTGCTTGGTGTTGTTGAGGGAAACTTGAAGATATGAAGGATAATATGAATGTTCTTGAGGAATTGGTTGACGATTTGAAGATTATGGGCACAATCTATGAAGGTTTGAAGGTTTACGGATGATAGTTGAGAGCAAAAAGTAGGAGTGTTTTCGGATGGAATTGTGAGAAATCGGGTTGTATTCAGAAGCCAACATATATATATATATATATATATATATATATATATATATATATATATATATATATATATATATATATATAGGATTGGATTTACGGTCAAGATGGGCGAAGGCATTTGGGTTCACGGTTCTCCCCTTTGGGTTTTCGCCCCAAATGGGCCTTGGGGTTGTGTTTTCGGATTTAGGCAAACCGAAAACACCCTTTTGGTGTCATTTCCAATCCGTAAACCCCTTTGTTCTT